TAATAATGCATTAGTCTTATGTAGAGCTTTTCCAGACCCTCAAAGATGCTTTACAATTTTCGTGTATCATTCATTCACACTCACATTCACACACTGATGATGGTAAGCTACATTGTAGCCACAGCTGCCCTGGGTCAGGCTGACGGAGGTGGGGCAGTTCAGACAGCTGTTGTTATCTTAAGGGGATGGAAATGTTTGAAGCCATGTTTTTGTACTTGCTTGAGAGAAAGATGTACTTTAATCCAGGGTATAGGATTATGGAATGGTCTGGAGGATGATCTTAAAAATGCCAGATCTATGTACCGGTCTATATGAAATATATATAAAAGCTAGTTTTCTGAAGGTATATGAAAGAGCAAAATATGAAGCTATATGAATTGTTGTTTGAGTTGATGTTTTTATTTTTATTTTTATCTTTATTTAGTTTTGTTTCTCTTCTTTGAATATATATTGGGGATAAAAGGGGCAGACATTATAAGATTTATTCTTCTGCTACCGTTCATTTTATTTTTGATTTTTGATTTGTGTATTTTCTTAGTTTCTATTGTATATAATTATTTTATTTTTAATAAAATGAATACATTTTTTGAATTGAATTGAATTGAATTGAATTGAATTGAATTGAATTGAATTGAATACAGTATTCCACCTCGAGGTGACCACTACACTGGTAACGAGCTTCGTTTAAAAAGTGACATTCAAAACTTCATTTTTATTGCACTGGACTGGTGTAAGTGTAGTGTCAGCTGATGGCTCCTGTGGCCTGGAGACCTTCTTTCTGTGGGGCTGTTAGGGTTTTGGAGCCACGAGTCCCGGGAAGAGGTAGAAGTGTTTTGTTAAGGTGCATCTGTCTATGGTCGGCATCTGCATGCTTCTCCCGGTGTTCAGCTCTTCAAAGCGTTGCATGACCTGCGTGGTTCAAACATCTTTTTTACAACGATACGTGGCRTTTACCTTTAGGCTTTGTGGGTTTCTCATACATTAAGACTGTTTGTGCAAAACTTACTTTCCGGAAAAGCTCCTGAACATGTTCCCGATGTGCGTCTGCTCTGAAGATTTCAACAATGTACAGAATGAGGAGAGATCCCAGTTTTGGACATCTGTACGACACAGTATCTGCAGGAAAATGTGCAAAGACAAAATAAAACATTTATCACTGAGGAGAGAACAGACTAAAGAAGAAGTATTTGGACTCACCAGGGGTGCAGGAGAGGAGAGAAATGAAGTCTTTTTCTTTGTGAACAAAGTGAATCTTGTCTTCTTCAAAGTCTTCCTCTCTGGGTTGTGGAGCATCATCAGCTTGGTTTGGACCATCGCTGACAAGAAGAAATCCTTTCTGGGCTGAAACAAACAGCATGAGGAACAATCAGATGGTTTGAGAGAACATCTGAATCAATCTTCAATGAGTTTTGGAGTATTTGTGTCCACCACCTCCTCTGCAGGCCTGGATGACGATGATCTTGGGTTTGTTCACCAGCTGCGGACATTTTATCGGACCCAGGAGTTTAAAAATGTTGTTAATGGGGAACTCATCTGGTTTCTTGTCATYGTCTTTCCAGTCGACGCCCAGAATTGCTCCGAGCTTTCCATGAGACATGATGACCACGAACACACTGTCCGCCTCTATTAGTTTCGGGTGTGTAGAAAACTCACTTAAAGCTTCCTCGATGGCCTAAATAAAAGCAGAAGATCCACTCATCAGCTGCTTTACCTCCATATCAACCAGAAAATCTTCCTTTTTCTTAAAATAGTACCTTTCCAGTTAGGTTTCTGTGCTTCACCACCTCATATCCTAAACTTCGGAGCAGGTTCTCCATGTTCTCCTCGTCCTTCTCAGCTCCGTTTCTTTGTGTCGCCTGAGAAAACTTGATATTTGTGATCATCAGGGCAACACGGCTCTGATAGAAAGCTTTGGTCACAGGGTAAACCTGAGAAACAAATTAGGAGCAAACAAAAAAGGCACTCATTGTTTTAATAGGTAAATTAGAAAACAACACAGACTTGAGTTGCACTGAAATGTGTTTCTTTTTATCAATAAACAGAGTGTATCGGTGTTTTCTCTGGGTAAAGGTGAGTTTTCTGTAAGTCAAATGAATTACTGACATTTGAGTTGTTTTGTTTTGTTCTCCAGAACTCTTCAATGGGGAGTTCAGGTGCAGTCGACCCACTCTGAGCCGCTGGGGGCGACGCAGCTGGAAACAAAAAAMCCACATTACATTACAGGAGGTACGTTCATTGTACTTGTTTATAACAGTGTTTTATAAACATTCAAGCATCTTTTCTTGTACCTGGTTGAGCCGAAGACAAACCCAGCTCTTCATGAAGCATTGGGTCTTTTTGTTCCAGGAGATCAATCATCCTCCTGCTGGTTTTAGGTCCTTTTTTCTTCACACTGTCGATGAGAGCCCGGGCCTTGTCGGCTCTGGTGTCATACGTTTCAAGTACAGCCTCCATCTCTCCTGAATTTAACATCCKGTCTTCCAAAAGGCCGTCCAGGAGCTGGTTAATTACTTCTAAGGAGACTTTGTCCACAAACGCAGATCTCACTTTGAAAAGCTCCTTGTCTGGATTTGTAAAGGAACGGACACAAACTGTTTCAGCTTGTAATTATTTAAATAAAACCACAAAATAAATTTAACTGTATTCAAAAACCCTTTGTCCCCTTTCAAGTTACCAAATTCTAAATTTGTGATACGTGTTGAGAAGAATCGTGTACGCCCCTCCTCTTTGTGCAGACTACTGAAGTGGGAATGTCAGAAACGGTAGCTGAGGCCAATTTCAATGCGTTTAGATCGACTATGGTGTAAAGTCAAATTTATTTTTGATGTATATAGCATTTTTACAACAACTGAAGGTAGCATAGTAACTTGATTGTGGTATAGAATTGAACAATGTGCCAGGAAAATACATAATTCACTCCCCCACCACCCTCTTTTATTTCTTATTTTTTATTTTTCCMTAACTTGAGAGATCTGAAGTCTCGTTCTTTTGACAAAAGGCCAAGTTATATTTGAAATTAGTTCCTGCAGTAAAACTGACAGKAAACTGATAGTGGGTGAAACATTTATTTCTAATCATCCTCATATATCTCTGTTACACAGGAACACGCAGTTTCCTGTTCTTACAGCTGCAGATATATCAGAAACTGGAGCATTAGAGTTGCTATGAAAGTGAAACTAAAAACTATGGCATGCGTTCAAAAGGAAAAAAAATGTTGTTTGGGTTTTTTTCTGGGTCCTGGCTGTACAYTTATAAACCGGACCCAACCTCTCCTCTGTCGGGGGAAAACAGGACATATATTTGCGAKAAAAACGTACTTTTTAATCGCAAATAAAACACTGAACATCAATCATATCTGTAAACAGCAGTCACGTCTCTTACCTGCCATCGTTCAGTTCTTCTGGYTCCGACTGGGATCTGATAAAGAATWAATCAACAAAAGCGCAACTTTGTGACTGCGTCTACAAAGATCCTTTCTGTTGGGAAGAGAGATCACTAAAACAGAAACTTCCGGATTAAGTTCATTAACGCCAGAGGTGCAGCGCTGAGGAAGAGGAGCTCCTTTTACAGCAGGGGAGGAGTCCAGCTGCCAATTTTGCGACTTTATCACTAGATCTAGCGACTTTTTTAAACCCCTCTAGCGACTTTTAGGACTTTTCTTGCTCCGGAGTTGGCAGCACTGTGCTAAACTCAAACTTTAGTCGATTCCAGGGTTTGAAGCCATGGCAGGTAAGACAGAGACTTAGATTAGAAGCAGTCAAAAACTTAAATATCTGTTCTTTGCGGTGTTTATGAGACAAATTATCGTATGGCTGTGAAGAAAAGGGTGGGTCGGATTTACTTCTTCCCTGTTCCCACTGTTGTTACTGCAGGAGGTAAAGTCCTTCAGCTCAAGTGTCAGCAGCACASATCGTGAGTTTAGAAAACATATTTCCAACATGTCGCTCCAGTCGTGCAGCTTCTTCCCTTTTTTCAAGTTAGTTTCACTTMTGTCCTGCACGGGACGTTGTTTCAGCTGATTTAAATGCAAAGAAAAACCTGTTTGAAGGTTTGTGCGCACGTGAGTGCACTATTTGATCCCTACCTGACATTATTTGTTGATGTTTCTCTGGCTGGGGRRAAAAATAAAWWAAAWWAAA